TCTCGGAATCTAAGTTAGTAAAAAAATTAAGACCTGGCTAATTAACAAATATAACATGTATAAATACCAAAAATAGTAATATACTGTATATACAATTTTTAATGCAAAAAAAATTTATTGTATTGTATTATATAAATCTAAGAAAGTTTACACAGGGTGTAAACATATCATGTGACCAATATTTGTCACAACCATACGCCTTTAATTTTTATTATTTATACTAGAGACAGAGAATTTTTTTGGTGAAAAATTCATATTCGTCACTCTTTATCCTTCACATAATCATCCCACAGGTAATTTTTTAATTTCTTAATGCAGATAAAAGTAATGTTAATGCCAGACGTATCACGTGATCCGTGTCCAAACACCCTTGTACAAATAGAAATTGCCTAAATCTAAAATACTATAATATAATTTTGTATGCCAATAAATCTCATTAAAATACGCCAAATTTCACTTCATCTTTTCTTTCTTGACATTTTATTATAATTCTCCTTTTAGATTAAATTTGCATTTTGTTTTTAAAGAAAAAAAATAATAACGCGATTGATCGGCAATAATTGTATCAGGTCAAATTTTGATTGGCTTGTAAACTGATCTTGGTCTGGTATTTAAGCTTTAATAAAGGGTTCTTAAAAACTAATCAACGCCGCATTAAACTTTTCCAATTAATTTTTTTTTGCGAAATAAAAGATTCTTAAAACTAATCAACGCGTTAAACTTCTCCATTTATTATTTGCGAAATAAATAAACTATACACCATGAGCACTTCAGAGTATTACTATGGCCAAAAGTGTAAGTCTTGTGTGGACGTTTTCTACTAGTTATATTTAAATATTAACCAACTTTTCGACCTTCTAGCAATTATTTCTTATTTAAAGGAGCGAAACTCATATCGTGGATTCTTGGATGCCAACCGTGATATCATCGTCGCTTCGATATCTTCCGCAGACACATGTGATAATCTCGATAACAAGTGGGCTCGTCACTTACTGAAAGAAGCGGAATCACATTTGGATCAAAAACATTTTATCTTGTTGAAAAAGAAGGTGCTTTTTTTACACATATATATTGTATAGTGAGGCCAGACCGCGTCTTTGATTTAGGAAAATTACAAGATTTAGCAGCTTGGTATATAATCCAAGTATTCAATAAGTTAGCCTTGTTAATAAAGGACTACGAATCCTTCTCTTATTATTAATAAAAAAACTCGAGTAAATGTTAACGTTACTTTCTCACAATAGGTAGAATTAGAACGTAAAAATAGTAGGTTAAAGCCTTATTGGCAAGAGGCGCTCGAAGAACACAGAAGGGTAAGTAATAATACATTATGAAATTTTGCGTAATCGTAATTTACTAAACTAAGCGTTTATTACTATAGAGTATTAAAAAGCGAAAACAAGAAGATAAGGAAAATTTTGGTGTGATATTTGTTCAACTCGATTCATTTTATATTTATACATGTTATATTTGTTAATTAGCCAGGTCTTAATTTTTTTACTAACTTAGATTCCGAGAGAGAAAGGAAGTCCACTAAAAAATCAAAAAAATGTAAGAACGTGCAGTATAAAATTTTATTAATCAAGGTCCAACAGTACTCACTTTCACAATATTTTAATAGTTCCTTATCCTAGTATCAGAAGTTGGACGACTAGCGGAGTGATCAGTCCAGATCAAAGGACTAAGTTCTACTATGCAGACCCAGCGGAAACCAACATTGAATTGGTGAATAAAATCTTAGAAGGTGAATTTGTGGCACTCCACGGTCCACGAGCGTCCGGAAAGTCAACACGAATATATCGTACCATGCAGCAATTAACAGAACGACATAATTGCCATTGTTTCTAGTAAATACGTTTCTTTTTCAATAAAGCACACAGACAGCCTAAAAACTATACGTTAAAATCATTGTCTCTCCTAATTTTTCCTTTAGCATTACTTTACAAAACGTCGAAATTGACACTTGCGCAGCACGTTTCTGGTCTGATTTAGGAAGAAATCTACAAATATTGAATGTTTCTTTATTTAATCGTCCATCTATAAAGTCTGGAAGTGAGTTTGCCGCAGCATTTAACGAATGGAACTCCGTCGTCATCTTCGTAGATGAGTTTGATAGATTGTATGGTGCAATCGATAAAGTTCGTAACGAGTTCCTTGGTTGCTTTCGCACCATCAAGCACGCTATGGCCGCGAATTCGAATTATCCTATCCTTTCGGTAGTCGTTGTTGGAACTTTTGGAATTCTTGAGCTGAACTCAAGCAATGACTACGATTCACCATTCAACGTCCGAAACCCTCTCCAGAATCCTAATTTAACCAAAGAGCAAGTGCAAAAACTTTTCGAAAAGTTCGAAATGGAACATAAGTTCAAAGTTTGTCCAGATATTATTGAAGATATCTACTTGCAGACAAATGGGTATGTTTTGCAGGCCAAAATTTAGACTATAAAAATCTTATTAATTTTTCTTTGCAATGCATTTTTAACAGACACGCTAGCATGGTTTGCCTTTGCGGAATTTTGATAGAAAAAATGAGAATACTAGACGATGATGGTA